TTCTGGTAGGACAACTTCAGCAGGTATGTGACTATTTGTAGGCTCAGGCTTCTATGTGAAGTCTCCAAAAAAAATTGCCATATTGACGACAATGATTAATGTTGAGAGATCTTTTCAGTCAATACTGGCAATTGAAAAGAGTTGGCAGAAATAACTATACCCTTCTCTTTGAAATGATAATCAATAATAGGAACTTGTAAAACAGTGATTCTCAAGCTAATTGTGCATCAGAATTACCTGGGGAGCTTTTAACAGCTATACATGCCTGGCTCCACCCCTAGGGATTGAGTTTCATTTGGTCAGGTTGGGCCCAGACATCAGTATTCTTTAAAAGTCCCCCAGACGATTTTAATGTACAGCCAGAGCTGAGAGCCTGTTAGAACTTACACATAAAATAGCTTTTTCAGCTCTTTGAAAAATCTTCCCCTATGAATAGAGCTGTCCTTTCTGTTGAATTGCATCACAGTCATTTATCTGGAATGCTACTTTGATTTACCTACCATAGTGGTTTCATCAGAAGTTGCTTGGTAAAGATGCACTGTCATCAGTGTTGGGTCAAGAAACTTTTTCTAAATCAGATTTGAATTAAAATTATATTTTGATACAAAAAGACCTTGTCATATTTTCCCCAGTGCCTGAAACAGTGGTATAGAGCAGGCTCTCAATACACTTTTTGCTGGAAGAGTAAATGAATTCATGGAATGTTACATTTGCCTTAACTTAGGGAGATTTGAATACAGTAGAAAAGCAATTTCTATTTAACTGTTTTTGCCATGTTTCGATTTACATGCTTATCCTTTGACCTTTTTTGGTCATATGCTAGCTTCTGTTTTAGTTGCTACGGACAAAGCAGTGAACAAAACAGACAAAAATTCCTTCTCTCATGGAACTATTCTAATAGATATGTAAAAATTTTAAAACAATATGTGTATTATTATATGGTAATATGCTCTTTCCCCTTTCTCAGTTCATTCTCTTCCTTTTCTCCCCAGAAGCGGAAGAGGGGATGATACCGAGGAGGGAGATAGTTGTGATTTTAGATAGGCTGGTCAGGGAAGACCTCATGGAGAAGATGTCATTTGTAGAAAGATCTAAAAGTTGGTGAGAGAACAAGCCATGTTCCTATCTCTGAAAATATATTAGGTGCAGCAGGCCTGGCTTATTCACAAAATATTAAGGATGTTAGTGAGACTGGAGAAATGAGCAGAAGCAAGAGTAAAAAGAGATATGGTCAGAGAAGTACAGGGCGGGGAGTGGGTGTGCTATAGATTATATAGGCCTCGTAGTTATGGTCATTCTTTCACTTTTCCTCCAAGTGAGATGGAGAGCAGTTGGTTGATTCTGGACAGAAGAATAACATGATATGACATACATTTTTAACAGCATCATTCTGGCTGCTGATTTGAGAATTGCAATAACAATAGATGGGCAGAGGCAGAAAGTCTGTTTAGGATGCTGTCTTGGTAATCTAGGCAAGAAATGATGTGGACCAAGATGAAAGGAGTGGAGATAATAAAAAGTAATCAAATTCTTTTTTGAAGATAGTATCATTGGGATTTGGACATGGGACATGATGTCCCATGGTTGGACATGGGACATCAAGAGAGCCAAGGTTAACCACAGGATTTGTGGCCTGAGCAACTGGATTCTGGAAGGATTCCATAGCCATCCTATAGAGGTGGATCTGTCTGCAAGAAGACTTGGTTTTGGGGGAAGAAGAGGAGCTCAATTTTATCTATGCTAAGTTTTGAGATGCCTATTAGATAATCAAGTGGAAATGTCAAGGAGATCATTACATACAGAAGTCTGGAATTCAAGGAAAAGATCCAGGCTAGAGATCATAAATTTGAGAATTGTCAGCACGTAGTTATCTAATATTTAAAGCTATGAAACTGGATAACATCACTAAGGGAATGACTATATAGAGAGAGAGATGAGAGACCCAAGGGCAGACGCCGTGGAGTAATCCAAAATCAGAACTTCTGAAAGAGTGCAGAGTTCCTCCTCTGTAAATTGCCTGCTTATATATTTTGACTGTTTGTTTATTGGCTGGGGATTTTTTTTAAGACTATTTTTTTAAGAGCAGTTTTAAGTTCATAGCAAAATTGAGAAAAGGGTACAGAGATTCCCTATAACACCCCTTGCCTCCACACATGTATAGCCTCCCACATTAGCAACACCCCCAACCAGAGTTACGTACTTGCTTCAGTTGATGAGCTTACATTGACAACATCATTATCACCCAGAGTCCATAGTTTACATTAGAGTTCACTCTTGGTGTCAAATAATCTATGGGTTTGGATAAGTGTATAATGACATGTATCCACCATTTACTAACTTAGGGTATTTTCACTGCCCTAAAATTCCTCTGTGCTTCACCTATTTGTCACTCCCCCCATGCAACCCACCCTATTCCACACACCCCTGGCAACCAGTGATCTTTCTACTGTCTCCATAGTTTTACCTTTTCCAGAATGTCATGTAGTTGGTATGTAGCTTTTTCAGACTGGCTTCTTTTCACTTTAGTAATATGCATATAAAGTACCAACACATCTTTTGGGAGTTTGATAGCACATATCTTTTTAGGGCTGAATAATACTACTAGATGTACCACAACTTATTTTTCCATTTGCCTACTGAAAGACGTTTTGGTTGCTTCCAAGTTTTGGAAGTTGTAAATAGAGCTGCTATACACATCTGTGTGCAGGTTTTTAAAGTCATAAGTTGTTGACTCCTTTGGGTAAATACCAAGGAACATGATTAGTTTTGTAAGAAAGCACCAAGCTCATCCAAAGTTCCTGTACCATTTTGCATTCCCATCAGCAATGAATGAGAGTTCCTATTGCTCCACGTCCTTATAACAAAGCCGTACATTTGACTAATTATATCATGATGTCAATGTAGATTTATCAGTGTAGCAAATGTATGACCTTGGTGAAGTGACTTTGATTCAGCATTTGGTTTTGTCAGTGTTCAGGATTTGGGCCACTGTAATTAGTGTATAGTATCTTGTTTTAAAATTTTTTTTTTCAACGTTTTTATTTATTTTTGGGACAGAGAGAGACAGAGCATGAACGGGGGAGGGGCAGAGAGAGAGGGAGACACAGAATCGGAAACAGGCTCCAGGCTCCGAGCCATCAGCCCAGAGCCCGACGCGGGGCTCGAACTCACGGACCGCGAGATCGTGACCTGGCTGAAGTCGGACGCTTAACCGACTGTGCCAACCAGGCGCCCCTAGTATCTTGTTTTAAATTGCATTCCCCTTGAGATGTGATGTGTCTTTTTATGTGCTTATCTGTCATTTGTTTATCTTTGATAAGTCTGTTAAGGTATTTGGACTATTTTGTAATTGGGCTATTTATTTTCCTACTGTTAAATTTTAAGAGTTCTTTGTATATTTTGGGTAACCATCCTTTATCAGATGTTACTGGCTGTTTTTTTTTTTTTTT